CCTGTAATACCAGCTACTCAGGAGGCTGAGGCAGGAGAAATCACTTGAACCTGGGAGGTGGAGGTTGCAGTGAGCTGAGATTGAGACATTGCACTCCAGCCTGGGCGACAAGAACATGACTTCGTCTCCAAAAAAAAAAAAAGCTGGGTGTGACGGCATCTGCCTGACTTGTAATCCCAGCTACTTGGGGGGCTGAGGTAGAAGAATCACTTAAACCCGAAGACAGAGTGGTACACCACTACACTCCAGCTTGGATGATAGGGTGAGACTCCGTCTCAAAACAAAACAAAAAACCAATAGGATCATAAAGAAAGACTGATTGTCGGCAGAAGGCAGACTAGGAAAAATATTTCATGAAAGAGTTGGCCTCTGAGCTGAATCTTTAATGTGAAATGAACTTTGGAAATGAGTAAAATTATCTTTGTGTTAACTGGATCCTCTAGGCAGAAGACTTCAAGACAGAGTTAGGAGCACAATTTATTGGGGAGAGTAATTTCTGTGAAGGTAAAAAGGAAGAGAAAGCAGGATTAGGCCAGGATAGCCTAAACCACATGCAGATTGGACAAAATCTTGACCAACTAAACAGGGAGCTGAGGAGCAAAGACTAAAAAATCAGAGTAGTCTCACAGTGGACCAAATTGCTGGGCCCTAGTACCCAAACTGTGCTCAGTCACTGGTTGGGGGCCGCCCACGAAATGTGGCCTTGGCTTAAAAGATGAGGGGGGACGCTGAAAACACTGTAGTTGTAGAATGTTAGCTAACTATGGTCCTTGCAGCTAAATGGCAAGTTCTTTCTTGAAGTTCATTTGAATAGCACACGTCCAGTTTCCTTTACTCCTTTCCTTTAGTATTCTTTAAGGATAGGCCTGGAGAAAAGACTTTTCTGCAGACATACCTCATTTGGGTGCTTCCGGTGGAATTCCTTTATTTGCTTGAGTCTATTATAGAATTCAGCAAACTCATTGGGTCCTGAAATGGCATTGAGCTCCTCCTTTCGTAATCTGCAATTTCAGGAAAAATTCAAAGATAGAACACAAAGTCAGTTCTCTAACTAGGGCTCCTCAGAAACACTAACTCTTGGATTAGCTGTGACTGTCACTTACCCATCCTTATCATCATACAAATCCCTCAGGTTCCCACTGACCTCCATATACCTCTGAAAGGCAAATACAAAACCATCAGAATGACACAATTTGCACAACTGTAGAGCTAAGCAAACAACAAGGCCTCTCCAGTTAAAGCCCAGGGCAACCTCAAGGGACATGGATATAGTCTTAACAGTTCCTGTGCTTCCTAGTACCTTTTAACACACAGCCCTGATTCCAGGTTAGTTTTTTAAACAGGCTGACTGGAAGATTACCTACACGATATCATTTAATGGGTAGCTCCTATCTTTACATACCACCAATGCCTAACTTTGCCTGTAACAGACTCATCCTCATTGGCTAAACACAAGTTCCCACCTAAAATCCTCAAAGATAAAGATGACATTCACCATTTCAAAAAGCTTGACTAAGGAGTAGGCAGGCTAAATAAACATTGTATAGTCTTCCTTTGGAGTCAAAGTATATTAATTCAGGATGGTACAGGTATGTAGTCATGCCTCCAAAGCTTTTGGGACCAGGTTTGTTTCAGAATTTGGAATTTTTTAAGTTCAGAAAAGGTATCATATATTATGTAACACCCCTAGTGGAATCTGGAGCACACAGTTCTGCAGTAAACATTATACCTTATTTACTAAGTGGGATAAATTAAAGACTATAAAAAGCCTATCACAAGTTCAGGCCAGGTTTTACTACCAAGTGAGATCAAGTCAGATTTTGACATCAAATAATCACCCAAGGGAAAAAAAAATCCTTAGTTTGCAGAGTATTTTGGGGCTGAGGGCTTGTAATCTGATTCTCTCCTGCAAATCAGAAGATCCAAGTAGGTCTTCTATTCCTTTTTAAACAGGTTTCAAACATACGCAAGAGTAAGGAAGGTAGCATAACCTTCATTTACTCATCACCCAGTTTTTAAAATTTATATAACATCTTTTTTTGAAGTAATAAATTGAGCTATTACAAGGCAAATGCAGTTTAGTAGTCCAAAAAACTTTAAAACAGTATCCTGAGAGAAAAACACTAATATACGGTATTTTTTTAAGAGAAGGACTGTAGCTGTGCACTTCAGTCACAGATTCCTCATAACTGTTGTTTGCACATCCAAGGGATACGGAATGCTGTAAGAATGTGCACTTGGAGGCCAGGCGCGGTGGCTCATGCCTGTAATCCCAGCACTTTGGGAGGCTGGGGCGGGTGGATCACGAGGTCAGCAGTTCGACACCAGCCTGATCAACATGGTGAAACCCCATCCTACTAAAATACAAAAAATTAGCCAGGTGTGGCGGCAGGCACCTGTAATCCCCCTATTCGGGAGGCTGAGGCAGGAGAATCGCTTGAACCCGGGAAGCGAAGGTTGCAGTGAGCCCAGATCGCGCCACCGCACTCCAGTATGGGCAACAAGAGCAAAACTCCGTCTCAAAAAAAAAGAAAAGAAAAGAAAAGAAAAGAAAAGAAAAGAATGGGCACCTTCCCGAGTAATGAAGAATGCGTAAGAGTTCCCCATTCAGAGAAGTGAGGAAGCACCCTCACTTTCGGCAGCCGGTGGACTTCTGTCCAGGCAGAGAGCACGCGACTGGCCAATCCGGTTACCTTTGGCCAGGGCTCATTCTGAGACGCGAACTTCACTTCCCCTCTTTTCCCGCCCTCGCCGACCCACAGACAGGCAGACAGCAGGGCACTCACATCTTGCATGGCCCGAGTGCGGTGATCAGAATTGATCTGGTCCCGGAGCTGAAAAAACAAACGGTGACACAAACGCCGTTAGTTTACGTTCCGGAGTAGAAAAGGCCGCCGAGGGCGGAGCTTACCGGCTCAGGTTTCAGCAGCTGAGGCGGAAAGGCCTCTCGGGCGCTGGACCCCGGGGAGGAGGTTACCAAGACCGGAGCTCGGAGACGGAGCCCCGGAGGAGACAGGGGGCGGAGCGCGGGGAGACTGAGGCCCAAAGCAAGCTCTCAGAAGTCCAACACGGGATAGAGGCCCAGCCTCACACGCAGTCCCTGACCAGACCCCACTTACCGTGGACTTCTTAGTGAGCATCTCTTTGGCCATGACGTCCATGAGCCGTTCCTTCTCCTCATGATAGCGCCGCTGTTGCTCCAGTATCGTCTCCATCTTCCCTTCACCTCGGCCTCTCAATACAGACCACCTACACGGCGGAAACAACCCCTGCCGCCTTGCGCGCCTGAGTCCCCACGTTGCGCATCCGGCTGCACCAAAGTTCCGCCAGTGCCGGAAGTGCGCGGGGACTTAGGAAAACATGAGCACCACAAGGAGGACCAGTCTATGCTATCGAGATGGCAACAGTGCCATCTGCTGGTCGGAGGTGTGGTAGACGGACGCCAAGAGGTTTGCAGATGCCTGCAGGGGGCATGGGAAACTCCAAGCACCTGAGGTTCAGCGGCGGGCTTCCCGGGGCTTGCGGGTGCCGGCTGGGCGGACAGCTACCCTGTGTGGACTGCGCGAGCAGTTGGAGTGCGGATGGGAGCTGGGAAACCGGAATTTGAGGGCGCCGTTTTCAGCGTGAATTATCAGAACGTTTGCTCCTTCTCTGGACCTCAGTGTCTTTTTCAGTAAAATGGGAATAGTGGGGTTTTGCTGGTGGGTTGTTTTTTTTTTTTTTAGACAGAGTCTTGCTCTGTTGCCAGAGCTGGAGTGCAGTGGCGCGATCTCGGCTCACTGCAACCTCTGCCTCCCGAGTTCAAGCAATTCTCCTGCCTCAGTCTCCCGAGTAGCTGGGACTACAGGCGTGTGCCACCACACCCAGCTAATTTTTTTTGTATTTTAGTAGAGACAGGGTTTCACCCTGTTGGGCAGGATGGTCTCGATCTTCTGACCTTGTGATCCAACCGCCTTGGCCTCCCAAAGTGCTGGGGTTACAGGCGTGAGCCACCGCTGGTGGTGTTTTAAAAGAAATTCACAAGTGAGGCCGGGCGCGGTGGTTCACGCCTGTAATCTCAGCACTTTGGGAGGCCAAGGCCGGCGGCTCACTTGAGGTCTGGACAACATGGTGAAACACCGTCTCTACTAAAGAAAGAAAAATAATAATAATAACCGGGCATGGTGGCAGGTGCCTGTAGTCCCACCTACTTGGTAGGCTGAAGCAGGAGAATAGCTTGAACCCAGGAAGCAGAGGCTTCAGTGAGCTGAGATTGCGCCACTGCACTCCAGCCTGTGTGACACAGCAAGACTCAGTTTCAAAACAAAAAAAAAAGAAAGAAAGAAAAGAAAAAGAAATTCATGTGTAGAAACGACCTATCAGTAGGGGATATGTTAAATAAAATACTGTGCATCTAGTGAGGTCAGGAAACCAAGACCAGCCTGGCTAACACAGTGAAACCGCATCTCTACTAAAAATACAAAAAATTAGCCAGGCCTGATGCGTGATTGTAGTCCCAGCTACTCAGGAGGCTGAAGCAGGAGAATCGCTTGAACCTGGGAGGTGGAGGTTGCAGTGAGCCGAGATCGCGCCATTGTACTCTCAGCTGGACGACAGAGCGAGACTCTGTCAAAATATGAAATAAATAAAATAAAATAAAATAAAGTCTGTGCATCCAAGCAGTGGAAGACCTTATGTGAAATGCTATATGGTCTTAAAAAAAAGACTATGTCTATTTATCTCCACTTGTAGGTAGAGAAATGCGAACACGTCCATGTATTTATATGTTCACGGCAGCATTATTCGTGACAGACAAAAACTGGATGCAACCCGAGTCCATTAACTGTTGAATGGATACAGTGTTGTGTATCTATACAATACAATGGAGCATTATTCAGCAATAAAGGAATACTACAATGATGAACCATGAAAACATATATTGCTTAACTTCTCTGGGTTAGTTTTACCATCTAGTAATACAAAAACATAAAGCCTATGTCTTAGACTCACTATGAGAAATAGTGCTCACTTTGGCAGCACATACACTAAAACTGGAACCATACAAAGAAGATTAGCATGCCCCTGGGCAAAAAAAAAAAAAAAGAAAAGGAAAAGAAAAACACTGGTTATGGCTTGGCCTTTGCCTTATTTGAACATGGTTTGCATAGTTTACCATGTTTGATTGGCCAAAACTCAGCAATTGGCAAAGAAGAGGCTGCAGTCTGTTGACAACTCCATTTAGGTTATAGTTCACGATGTACAGAGAAACCTTTAGGCTAAATTTAAAGCATGTAAGGAGGCAGCTTTGGGCTAAACCTAATTTAACAAAGGCAAATCTATAGAGGCAGAAAGTCTATGGGTGGTTGCCTGTGACTGGAGGTGATATTGGAAGTGACTACAAATGCACACAAAGAATCCTTTTTGGGCTGACAGAAATGTTCCAAAATTGGACTGCGGTGATAGTTGCATGACTCTATTCACTTTGCTAAAATTAATTGCATTGTACTCTTAAAATGGGTGAATTTTGTAGTATATAAATTATGCCTCAATAAAACTGTTAAACACTCTGCATGAACTCATATGGAGAGACGGCCACACGAACTGAGAAAAGCTGGATGCACAAGCGTGTATAAAAATAGATGTGCAAAGAGATTATTTCTGTAAGGATATCCAAGTAACAGTAAACAGTGGTTGCTCCTGAGCAGATAGCCTTGGAGATCTGATATGGGAGGGAGACTTTTCTTTGTGTACACCCCAAGCACAACATGAAAAGTTACTATTTATTTATTTATTTAGAGACAAGTTCTTGCTGTGTTGTCCAGGCTGGTCTCAAATTCCTGGGCTCAAGTGATCCTCCCACCTGAGGCTCCCAGTGTTGGGACTACAGGGTTATAGGTGAGAGGCATCACGCCCAGGCTTTTTTTTTTTTTTTTTTTTGAGATAGAATCTTGCTTAGTCACCCAGGCTGGAGTGCAGTGGCGCGATCTCGGCTCACTGCAACCTCCGCCTCCTGGGCTCAAGTGATTCTTCTGTCTCAGCTTCCTGAGTAACTGAGACTACAGGTGTGTGCCACTATGCCTGGCTAATTTTTGTATTTTTAGTACAGATGGGGTTTCACCATATTGGTCAGGCTGGCCTCAAACTCCTGACCTCAGATCTACCTGCCTCAGCCTCCCAAAGTGTTGAGATTACAGGCGTGAGCCACCGGACCCAGCTGAAAACGTATTATTTCTTTAAGAGATAGGGTCTCGCTATGTTGCTCAGGCTGGAGTGCAGTGGCTATTCACAAGCGCGATCCCACTAATGATTAGCATGGGAGTTTTGACCTGCTCCGTTTCCAACCTGGGCTGGTTCGCCCCTCCTTAGGCAACCTGGTGGTTCCCCGCTCCCAGAAGGTCACGATATTGATGCCGAACTTAGTGCGGACACTAGATGGGCATCGTGCACTACAGCCCAGAACTCCTGGCCTCAAGTGATCCTCCAGCCTCAGCCTCCTGAATAGCTGGGACTACAGGTACGCGCCACTGGCCCAGTGAAAAGTTATTTTTCAACAATTTATTTGTCTTACTTTTTCAATTTAAAAATAAATTTAAAACTGAAAATATGTATGTGCACATTTATGTTTAACACAAAAGAATGAGGAGGACATAATATATCAAATTATTAGTAATTTACCTATTGTTCACTTTTTTCTTTTTCTTTCTTTCTTTTTTAAGATAGGGTCTTTCTCTGTTGCCCCAGGCTGGAGTGGAGTGGCGTAATCATGGTTCACTGCAGCCTCCACCAGCATGACCCCACAGGTAGGTACAACCACCCTGGTTAATTTTTTTCCGCCTCACAACAAAAGCCACATTCAAAGTTTTGGTTTTGTTTTTTCTTTTTTTTTTTTTTTTTTTGAGATGGAGTCTTGCTGTGTGGCACAGGCCGGAGTGCAGTGGTATGATCTCAGCTCACAGCAACCTCCACCTCCCGTGTTCAAGTGATTCCTCTGCCTCAGCCTCCCAAGTAGCTGGAATTACAGGTGTGTGCCACCATGCCTGGCTAATTTTTGTATGTTTACTAGAGCTGGGCTTTCACTATGTTGGCAAGGCTGGTCTTGAACCCCTAACCTCAGCGTGATCTGCCCACCTTGGCCTCCCAAA